TGTAGCACATGGAAGAGCTGTGCTATCATACAATTCAGGCACTTCAGTTACTGCTAGGCAAGATGAGCATGCACAGTGAAAAAAAGAAATCATGAAACATCTTTTTAACTGTCTGTTGCCATGCAGAGTCTCTGATTTCTTGATAGAAGTAGGTACAGAGTTTTAGGAAAGTAATAGATTTTTTTTTCCCCTGGAGTGCATGTATATTAATACACTTTATGTAATGTAATTTTAGGTGGAAGCTCAGATATGAAAAACTGCAGTGGAGTTATTTATACTGGATCTTCAATAGGAAGGAAAGTATATTTAAAAAAAAGTTTTAAAACCATGGCTACTATTTTTGAAATACATTAAAATACTACCTTTATAGTTTATCAACATTCCTAATAGAATTTATGTGAGCTTAATACAATTTGCAGCCTCTAATGGTCATAATAATCGTAAGACTATGATGTAAATTTTTCTGTAATGTCTAATCAGTGCTAAATCAGCTTGTTTCCTCACTGTGGGATAAAGGGACTGTTTGTAAACAAACCTTAGAAATTCAGTAAACCATTTCAGGACTGATCTGTATGAAAGATGTCACATAATTACTATGATAGAACTGAGAAATCTGGCAAAGGATCTGGTTGTACAAGTACTAGTTGATTATAGTTAATATTTTCCAGAATATAAAAGTAACTGCATTAGTGAAGACTTATAGTTCTGTGATATCCTAGTATTTCCACTACTCATTTTTGCATCAGTATCGTGCAAAAAAAATTGTCGTCTTAGATTGCCTTCTAAGAAAAACTTACTTTGCTCCCAACATAAGTACGTTCTTCCAGTCTAGATGCAACATTGAGTAACTAATAATACAATCAGAGCTCAAATACCAAATTTGTCATTATCTTTGTTCAAAATTTACCAAATACCAAGCTACAACAAAGAATTCTAATTAGAATACAGTTGTATCTTTTAAGGCATGTGTCTTTTAAGACATACACATACCCACAGAAGAGAACTTCTGTCATTTATATTTCTTCTGCAACTTTTTCCTGGTCACTCATTTCTTTTTGTCTCATGCTCCACAAAATTGCAGGGGACACAAATGTGCCCCCAAAGTCTAGATTGAATTGAAGTTGAAGTTTCCAGTTCCCCAAAGAGTCGTTAAAATGTGTACAGTTTATTATTCTGTACTAAAATGCTGTTGATCATTGTGTGTGATTTGGTAAAATGCAGTTAGGAAAAATCTAGTGTTGCTTGGCAATGGAAACTATGTTAATGAACAATTAATGACATGGTGGGAGCAGAAGAGTAGCTGCTGTTCTGTAGAATGCTAAGTGCTATTTAGCTAGCTGTTAAAGTTAATTGTGATTGCTCTAAAGTGAAAATGGGTTCTTTTTTTAACCTGATGACTGTAGAATTTTTTCCCAAAGAAATGAAACTTTTTAGAACCTTTAAGGTTCTAATTAACTAGTTTGATTTCAGTCTTTACAACATAGTTGTCCAAACTCATGAAATAACAAAAGAAAATGCATAGAACTCGGACTACTTGCTTTATAAAGTCTCCCACTTACTAATGCTTACCACAGGAGTATGACAGAAAATTATATCTTCAAACCTCTAATTGTAACCTCAGAAAAGCAATATAAGTTCTATTTATCAGTGCACAAAACTTAGATACAATAAGAAAAGAGTTCATTCTACTGAGAATATTTATGAGTTTGTTTTCTTCTCCTCAGTGTATGTATGAAATAGAAGCAAGCAATAATTTCTTGTTCTTTAGGCTTCCCCGCGCATTTTGCTTTCTGTTACTTAGTTTGGTTTGTATATGCTTTAGTGTGAAATCTGTCAGTATTTTGCTGCATTTTTTTAGATACTTTTTTGCATTGCATTTTTATAAGTCTGAGAAAGAAGGGACTCCACTTGAAATATTACACAGTACAATAGATCTATTACATAATATATGCTTAAGAAGAAAAGCCAAGATAGTTTTCTAAACGTTATTTCTTTTTTTTTTTTTTTTCCACTCCCATTGCTGAGGTCAGAACATGGAAGTGCGAGAGCTGGGAGAAAGCAAAGATGGGAGAGCACCCATTACAGCTGCTCAGATTATTCTTGCATTGGGGCTGACTTTCATGAATCCCCAAACGCTGAAGCTGTCATGCTTGAATAGATATAGAGATCATATTAAGAATCCAGTGCCTAGTGCGAGCCCTATTGTGATCATTTAGTGGCATGCCATGTTAACCTTTAAAATATGGAACTCCTCTGGCAGAGACCATAACGTGAGATGTCAAGAGCTTCTCTTCTGTGTTAAGTTTCAGTATGTAGATTCTGATAATGATGAATGGTGTTTAGGTACATTTAAGTTTGTGAATTTAAGTAAGCGAAGCTGCACTATTGTCTTTTTTCTTTGTTTGTTCTGTGGGTTTTTTTTTTTTTTTTTTTTTTTTGTAAACCTTGTGTTCTTGGTCTATGGTTGATAAGGGCTGTTCCTGTCTCAGGATGTAACAAAGACATGTCACCATCTAATGAGTTAGAAGATAGCTTGTCACCATAGTCTATAAACATTAATTCCAGAAATATATCTAGAAGTTAGACCAGAGACTGGGAAGCTGACATATGTAAGGAAGAGAAATGTGAAAAAACAAGTCAGGAATTTCATAACAGGATTTAGGGTAGGAGTATGAGTCAGCAATGAAAATTAAGGCCAGAAACTGGGGCCTAATCTATCTGTAACATCTTGAGGTCTCTGAGAGGAAAGACACTTGGTGTCTGCTGGTTTGTTGTAGTTTGAACCTTTGGATGTGGCTGACTTCGTGCTTCCTCAGATCTGATGATTGGCTGCCCCAGGATCAATCATGTAGTTAGAATATCACTGTAAAAACAATGCAGTTGTAGGATGAGTAAGTGCTGAGCGTGCAGTTGAGTTTAGTGGTTATCTAGCAATACTGGGCTCAATTTTCTGATTCCAGAAGTCTTATTTGTTTATCCACGAGCACTTAGACTGGCACAGTTGTGTTGCCAGGCACTACACCTGAATTATTCAAGAGTTGCCTGTAGCTCAAAACCTACACGTGGCTCCCTCAGTAACATGATTCATAGCTTTGAAAAAAGAAAAAAAACACTTAAATTACAATTGGGAGGCTCTATAGAAAAAGACCAATTAAAAAGTTCTCATTTGCCAAAATCAATACTTCAGCTATACTATAGAACAATGAAAATTAGTGCATGGAGGGGGTGTTAACATTTTACTTTTTGTACTTGATTTGAATTTCCAAGGCTAATGGAACACTTTCCACCCACATTTCATTTGGTTTCTCTTGAAGAACATTTTAATTTCTCAAAATCATCCCATTTCCCTTTGACGAGAACGTTTATCCTCTCGTTTTCGTTTCAAAGAACTACCCACCCAGAGCTTTCTGCAACAGGTAGTTCTCCAAAAGATGTTTCTGAGAGGCTAATGTCTTTCCCTTGAGGCTTTTACTCCCTGATGTTCTCTACTCTCACATGGTAGAGAGTAGCCCTGGATGCATATTAGATTTGCTTGTGCCTTGGTCAAATCTGCCTTGTTAATGAGTATGTGGAAGAACTTTTTTTTCCTTCCCATTCTCTAGGTATCTTGAAGTGTGATGTAGACTTAGAGAAGCATCAAGTTTACACTGTTTCTTCCAAAATCTGTTTGACTTGTTTAGGGCTCTGTTACTGGTACAGAAATTATATTTTAAAAAAAAAAAAAAAAGCAGAGTTCTCATTTTAATTTTGGAGTTTCCTCTTGTACTATCTTTTTTTTTTTTTTTTTTTTTTTTTAATATGAGTGACTTAGTGGTTACAAGTACATTGCTGCATGTTGGGGACAGCCATTATTTGTATAATTAATTTTAAATAGGAGAGCTTGAAGATTCCAGGTGCTTTCTGCTGCATCTAGAAATAATTCTTTTGCCTATCTTCATAAGATCATTGTAATTAACTTATACTATTTCTGAAAGACATTATGTAGAAAAAAATCCCAACAAATAAACAAAACAACAGGAGAAAAAGAACAAACACCACCACTCTGCAGAATACTATACTACATGGAATACTATATAGCAACCAGTGACTTTCAGCTTTGCACTTAAATAAGACTGCTTGGCAATTGCCTGATGATTTGTTGTTGCATTGCTCTTGGTGTTAGGTTTGATAGTGACTGGAAGACTTCAGGTAGCTTACAAGAAATTATTCATATTCTTAGTAGTTTAGTCACTGATCATGTGATATCAGTGTTCTGTGATTCACTTCTTATGCTTTTTAAATGGTACACCAGATGACAGAGTTGGAACCTGATGATAAAGAAATGCTTATAAGATAAATGCTTTTTAGACCTAGGAAAAACAAATTTCTTTCTTGCAAAATTCAGCTCAAGATCTTCCTGGCGTTCTTCCTGTTGCTTTATAATTGCATTCATATGTAGGAAGGTCTCAGGACCATGGTACTGCCTATAGAACGTTTCCTAGTGAGTACATTTACCATAAGCTTGGGGTTGTAGTGAAAAATAGGTAGTTTGCTCTTAATGCCTTATTAGCTTTTGGATACTTATATTCTCCTAATTATTCCAGAAACAAGTGATAGTTCAGTTATATCTAAATCACAGATTGGAGGAAGCAACCAGTTGGATCATGCATAAGAATGGCTGATAGACCTAGGTCAGGATGTTCTTACTTTTGTGTTTTCTGATTCTCACCTATGAAATGGAACTCTGGTAACGGTAAATTCAGGTGACCTTGTGTTGCTGTTTAAATAAAGTATTCAGTTCTGTATTTCTTTGTATTCTCATGCATGTAGTTAAAGACTGGAAAAGTATATTCAGTTCCTACTACCTTGTTTGCTTCAGAGAACTTTTATTAAAACACCTTAAGGGCATTTACAGGAGAAAGAAAATTGTACCTTGCAGACTATTTATATTTTTCTGCAGCGAAACAAATCTAAGGCTTATGAAGTATTTTGCAGCACGCTATTAAGGTAAATCAACTAACTGAAACACACCCATGCTACTTTGTTTAGTAGTCGCTCCGGTTTTTGCTCAGCAGAGTATGTGGTTAGAAACACGTATACAAACGGAAATCAAAATGAGTCTCAGACTTAAACAAAAAAAAAACAAAAAAAACAAACCTTGTGGAGGTTCAAGAGAATGCTGTAGAGGCATTCAGAGAGACTCTCCCAAGTGAGTCAGGAAAACCCCATAATCACCTTCCCTATTTGCACAAAGATAGTTTACCGTAGCTTTTGTAACTTCCTTACACACAGTTATGTTTGGCAGGTCAGCTCTCTGAAAAGAAACTGCCTGCTGGTCAGTGGCAGTTCTGAAACTGAGCTGGAATCTCTTCACACTGAAGGTCAATTTTTAGCTTTTATTGAATTAGGAATTTATGCAATACAAATACAAGAATCAGACCTGATGTTTTTCTCTTTACTAACATTATTCATTAATAGTGTACTCACGTAAAAAGCATTTCTTTTATAGATTTGGCAGGAAGGTTACATTAAATATTTGATAATGGTTATTTGTAAAATTATCTGCTGCTACAATCCCATACAGGTCTGCTACTTTGTGCTGAGCTGTACTGGGAACTGATAAGACTTTCGTCTGCAGTGCATGTTTTGTACTTGTGATGTACTAAAAAACAAAGCTTTTCATAGTTCAGATTAAGCCTTTTAGTCATGGGCGCATGGTAGGAATGGATAGCTTGAAGTTTAGTACTGTTTCATTGTGTGCAAAATAATTACTCTTTAACTACATCCACCTCCGATGTGAGGTAGCTGGATCTGGATGTTTTAAAGCATAAGTTCACTTCTGTTGGGTGAGAAAATAAGCGTGTTGACCTAACCACTAATATTAGGTAGCATGTGCTGTTTTTTCCCCACACCTTTACAGTGCAGAAAAAAAGTATTTAAAACATCATTAAAAAAGATCCAAGTTCAATTGGAAGCATGATGCCATGTAATACTTATGGTAGAAGCCTGGAATATGCACAGATAGAAACTGTTGAGATAGACAGACTGTCTTTGTCAGCTGAAGGTGATCCATATTAAACACTTCTGAAAAGCAGATGATTTAACAATAGCTATACACAATTATATACATGCAGATAACTATTTTGGCTTTCAAGTTAAGTATATACAGAACTGCTTTTCTGGTTAAAAAAATCTGTTGGATGAAGGGCCCCATCAGAAGAGGGATGGCCAGTAGGGGCAGGGAGGTGACTGTTCCTCTCTACTCTGCCCTCATGAGGCCCTAACTGAACCATTGCATCCTGGTGTGAGGCCACCAATACAGGGAGGACATGAATCTGTTGGGGAGGGTCCAGAGGGCCACAAAGATGACTAGAGAGCTGGAGCACCTCCTCTATGAAGGCAGGCTGAGGGAACTGAGCTTGTTCAGCCTGGAGAAGAGAAAGCTGCTAGAAGACCTTTTTGCAGCCTTCCAGTACTTAAAATGGGTTTATAAACAGGAGGGGAATAAGCTTTTTGCTTGGGTAGCAAGTATTGTAGTAGCAATAGAACAAGGGGGAATAGTTTTAAGCTCAAGAAGGGAAGGTTTAGATTAGATGTCAGGGTGAACTTCTTCATAGAAAGACTGGTGAGGTATGGGAACAAGCTGCCCAGAGAAGCTGTGGATGCTCCATCCCTAGAGGTGTTCAAGACCAGGTTGGACGGAGCCCTGTATAGCCTTGGCTAGTACCAAATCTGGAAGTCAGAGTTGGTGGATCTGCCTGTAGCAGGGGGGTTGGACCTCAGAGTTCCTTCCAACCTGAGCCATTCTATTTTGTAAAATTTGGTATGGACCTCTGTGTGCTATATTTAAAAGCATTTTAGTCTTCTTAAAAACACTTGGAATAATAAGACAAATTCTAGAGAATTTAATAAACATTATGATTCCTGATGTCCCAGGCTTTATTTGCAAATTCCATATTTCTCCAGCAAAACTTACGCAGCAGCTGTTTTAACGCCTAAGCTATTTACATTCCATTAAGAACAGAAATATTCTGTAAGTAATAAATTAAATTATGCGAGAACATGAGTATAAACTTTGGTTTCTGCTTTAAAACTAGGAACTTACAATAAAAATCAAAAGACAGATGAAGAAATTTTTTTGAAGCATGACCTGGATTTTTATTTCATATTGATCTATTACTTGAACTTCTGTATTACCAATGCCTTTTTTTTTTTTTTTTTTTTTTTTGCTGGTCAGTAGTCTTTCCCAATCTGTCTTCATCCGACTGCATTTTCTTATGTCATTGCTCAAGAGCCCTGACCCAACTGTTTTCCAGTATAAGCAGCAGCCTGCTTCTCTCATCTCTACAAAGAACTGTGGATAGTTAATAGGGAATATATTAATTGTATTTAAAGCAAAGGACTAGTTCCCCATCTGTGACTTTGTGGGAAACTAGATTTATACTTAAAAATAATGATTGATACCAACTATTTACCTATTCCTTGAAAGGAAAATAGTCTATAGTGTAGCTCTTCCATGTTACCACCAAAAGGCCCTAGACTTTTAAGGACGTGCCTGTAGTTGGTAACAGAGAATTTGTATGCTTTCATATCAGCTTAGTTGAACCATGTGCTAAGCTAAGCGCTCTGTATTTCTCGAGTAGTGAATGCATTATCATGACTTTGAAACTCAGTTAAGATCTGAAAACAAATCTGGAAGGATTGGTAAAGAGCACACATCTCTAAAAGTATCTGCAGCTGCTCCAGTTAGAGTAAACCTGTCACTCTACTGAAAGTATAGAATAACACTACAGAGATTGGTCTCCTGGAATTTTATGATCTTTCTTTCTGTAGGTACAGGATGGTTTGGATGTTATGTTTTGAATGCTCTGCTTTAAATTCTACATTGACTGTGACTGTTCACAGGAGGTTTTTTGCTAGCTCCAAATGGGAGTCAAGTAGTGCAACTTATTCTCCTAACTCTTCATTGCTGCCTCTGTCAGTATATTAGACTGAGGCTATAAGCAGAATTGCCTCTTATGATGTAGCTGTAATTACAGAAAGTGGTCTCTCACATTCATTGTCAAAGATGACTTGATATATAAAGTTTCTGTTCTGGTATAATAACACTGAATGGGTTGATGCCAGAATCTACTGATCAGGAATTTTCTACTTGCCTTTCCTGAGGGTCTGTCTGTCCATCATATTGATTTTCCTGCAAACTATACATACCATTTCCAGAATATCTACATCAGTGCATGATAGATATCCAGCACATCCTCTGCTGCTAAGGGCTCAAAATGAGAGCTTAAACAGTAACTTCCTTGTAAACTACAGGCTTAGGTCATTCTGAATCACCTTCCTACCGAATTACATATACTCTGCATGAAATAATTAAATTAGTCTGTTTGATGATGGAAAGATCAGGATCTCTAGAGGATTAAATATGTAGAAGGGAGACATCCAGATTGGTGCAGGTGTAGGTAGCAGTGTAAACCTAGCATTTAGTTGATGGCTTTCACTTTCTGGCCAATCAGCCTGGACTCAGGAACAGTATATTTTGTGTTACCTGCTATAAGCATGAGTGAGAGGTTATTGCACTGATAAAGGGAAGAGAAAGCTTTCAGGGGTGTATAGAATTCATGCATAGAACCATGACAAGGGGAGAGTAAGAACTATTGTTGAGTGAGTAGTAGGAAATAAACCAGGAGGAAGCTGGGCTTTATTAGTTCTATTACAGATCTAATGTATTGTTTGGCAGGAAAGGCCTTGGCTTTGAGGTCCTCTTCATGTGTGTTACCCACCTGTATAAGGACATGGAAATTGTTTCTCAGTGGCTAACATGAATTATATTGTTTTATGAATGGGATGAGTTTAATATTCCTTTTTACTACATTGTGTAGTCTAAAAAATGGCTTTTTCCCCCTCTTGTAGTAGATACCACTTCATATGCTGCAGATCTGTTGTTTTCACCTACCTCTTCCTTTTTGTGTTATCATGCATTGCTTCTGCATGCTGTTCTTGTTTCAGGTGGTAACTACATTTGTCTTAGTAGAGGAAATGATGCAAAAAGGTAAGTTTTGAAAGGACATAGAATTCTATTTCAAGTTACCTATTTTGTCTCAGGGCAACCGATGCAAAACCACCATTTGTTAATATTAACAGATCCAGTAGTTAAAATGTGTTAGAGAAATGGAAACTTCATAAAACATTAATACATTTAATGTCCTTGATCTTTTCCTAATATGGGAAAGAAGCACCCACAAAGCCCATAAGATAGATCTAGTCTAAAAACCTCCTTCAAGTTAAATCCTTGTGAAGCACAGTTCAAGGAAATGCATTAGGATGTTTAGGTCCACCACAGAGTATGCGTTGGTTACCCCTGAAATTCTGCATACATTGTACCTCATTCCATGCATTTCTAGATGCACGTTTACTTTAGGATTACATGTCAGCTACACAAAAAACCTGCATAATTACTTAAGAATATCTCCATTCTGATGAATTCAGTCATGCCACTGACTGACATGGATCAGTAGCCTAATTCCTGTGTAACTCAATTCACTAATTTCTTATAAGTGTTACATTCATCTGATCATTATGTACAGCTATCTGAATATTTTGTTTTTGAAACAAAGCTGTTTTTCTTTGTTATCTCTCATCAGAAAAAAAAAAAAAAAGACAGACCTACTATGTCAGTAGCTAACTACCATCTTTCTAGTAGCATGATAAACTGGCCTGCTGAGAACTAGGATTCTGAAGAGGCTTCTTCCATGTTTGTGAAGTCATATGACAATTTCAATATGAGTGCTCTTCCCCCCCCCAGATTTAGAAGGAAATTCTTATCCGAATAACCAGCTGCTAAAGATGATTCTGACCATGCATCAGTTTATCATCTCTTCTGCAGATATGCTCCAGAAACTCAGTGATCTATATCCTTTGCAATATTCACCTGCTCACAAGATAAAAATTAGATATGCTTGACTACTCTAAGATAGGTAAGTAGAGGATATTTAAGCTAGGAATACATTACTTTTCTGCTAATGAAACAATAGACTTTTTACTTTTTTTTTTTTGTCTGTGCAGTGTGGCTTTTGTTTGTTTTAGGGTATATGTTTTTTCCTTGCCTGGTTTAGCCTACAATCCACATAGACAGAGATAAACTCCAGTTCAGAGTTTAAGTAGGATAAATCATCATCTATTGGCTGTGAAGGGATTATCTAACAAGTGTTAGATACTGCAAACCTGGGACTGTTACATATCTCTGTTTTTCCTATCCTCAGTACAAGTAGAGCAAAGCACAAAACCGTAGTTTTAGTAATATTCTAATGTTATCATCTGAAGACGACAATTCTCAACAAGTATTATTTCTCAGGCACTCACTCAAAATTCTAGAGTATTTAAATCAAACTTTTTCCTCCTGATTTGATGCTATTCTAGGTGTCTGCTTGGACTCATATACATGTGATTTTCCTTAACGTTTTCTACTTATCTTAGCGCTTTAGAGAAGAAGTCATCCGTGCTGTGTGTAAAGATATGCTATTTTGTAAGGTAAGAATACTCTTGCTTGATAGTTGTTAGTCAGTAGTTGTCTCTGTGTCACACAAAAGGATGGTTTTACAAATATTAAGATCACACCAAAAAGAAAGTTGCATTCCTTTAGCTTTTCAAGATTCACATTAGCAACTTGACAAAAAAAAAAAAAAAGAGACTCACACAGATCTATTGATATCAGTGCATGAATTATTGGGTCATACTTTTAGACTGATTCTGTATGGACTTGCTCCTTAAACAGCAGTAAGAATTGACAGTGCTCAGGAATCAAGAGTATTATGTCTAATATTATAGAGGTCTACTAAAAAAATAGAGTGGATATTGCAGCTACTGTTACATAAAAAAAAAAAAAAAAAAAAAAAACTGTTTTATATGTAGGCAATTTTCCCTAGTAACTGTTCTTAATCATTTGCAATGATCACAGACCACTTTTATTAAGCACAATAAAGTTTGAAATCTTACTTTAGAGAAGTGTAGAAATGCACTCAGCAATAAAAATGGGAATTAGCCATCTTGAAGTAGCTGTAGCTTGACTTACAGCTGGGCTTTGGTCTGCTTGTAGGGAGATAATGAATGACTGCCTTTGCATTTATTTGGTGGTGGGTTTTTTTGTTTGTTTTTGGGTTTTGTTCTTTTCCTCTCTCTTTCATTCAGTTATTACATCTTTACTGTGGCTCACAATTTTTTTTCCTCCCCAGTTCCATGCAGGGGGAAGGAGTGAGTGAGCAGCTAGGTCAGTATTTAGTATTGAGGCTAGGGCCAACCTATCACAGTGGGTGCCAAGTCACATGAGGAAACTGAAATAAAATGTATGACAAATAATTTGAATGCCTAACACAGAGAAGTATAGTCCTTAGAAAGTATTTGATGCATGTAAGAATGAATCACTAGTAAACAAATATATTTAAATAGTAACTTATTTTTTGGTTAATAGTTAAAATTCTGACTAGCATAGTGCATTTTTTGGCAGAATAATTTCAAGTTTTAAAGGAATAAGTAAAATTATTTACTACTTTGTGTATGCTGATTATTTTCTTTACATTATCTAAATATAACATGAGTCTAGATGCTTTAATTTTGAATTATTGCAAGTTCTATAGTTCAATTTTATATAGAACTATATATATATTTTTTTAAATCTTGTAAAAGATTAAAAGTACCCTAACAATAGCATTTAAAGAACAATGATTATCTCCCAAAGTTGGTCAAAAAGAAATCAAATCTGAACATGAGCAGTTATCTAAATTTCAGCCTTACTCATGGTAAAGCAAAATAATTTTTTTTCATTTATAATAGGTATTGGATTACAGAGTTTTGGATTATGTTCAAAATGGACTCTAAACTATCAACAACCATGGAGGCATTTCAAGAACTGGTTAAAGCTAATGGTGAGGAGTTGCACTGTCGTCTAATCGACACAACTCAAATGTGAGTGCCAAAGTTCCAATATAGTTGCAAAACAGAGTTTTGCTCTGAATTTCCTTTATTTAAATATAACTCTCTCTAGTATAACAGGATAAGGATACCATAATGGGTTAATTTTAGTCTACAATAAGTTCTATGTTATTAATTGTTAGCAAAGCATTAATACATTATACATAGAAGAACAGAATGCCTTTCAAGAATGGGCTAAGTTGAACTGGACTGTTTTCTAGACTTTGTACTGATTTTCTATGCTAGTTAAGCATTATTATATCCAGGGAGCCTTACTGACTCAGTCAGTGAGAGAAAAGAGTGCATTTTGATTGAGTAGTAGAGGAGGTACAAGTGTCAATGAGATATGTTAAAATATTCCCTTTAATAGTCTTTATGTTCAGTAGGTCAGAGTCAGGGAGAGCAATTCTGAAAGTGCAGTATGTGATCTTGTCTTGCTTAGTAATGTTGTACTGTATTTAGATGCAACATAAATACTTACAGAAAATGTTTTGTCATGTAGTCTATAATTTATGAAAGATGCTTGCTGTTTAGAAATCCAAATATGAACTTTTTAATGCAATAAAGCATGAAAATAATGCAAGTTTTCAATTAAGAAGTTTCATCTTCAGATGGTAACTTCAGATAATTCTCTCTTAAAATTTCTCTAAAAGAAATTCCAGGGACTGGTCTAGAAAGCTGACACAACGTGTAAAGGCTAACAGCAGTAAGAAACGGAAAGTTTCACTCCTTTTTGATCACCTTGAGCCAGAAGAGCTGTCAGACCATCTTACCTATCTTGAATTTAAGTCCTTCAGAAGAATATCAGTAAGTGTTTTATTTTATTTTAAATAGAGGCAGGAAGGAGGTAGTAAAGATGGGAGAGAGGTATCATTACAGGTTAACCCTGAGGTGCAAGCACTTTGACAAACTGACAAAATGATTGTGGTGGAGAGCTGGCAAAAAAATCAAGGTCAACTACAGAGCCAGATGGGAAAGCTTACCTGTATATCAGTAAAAATAAATGAAGTAGGTAAGGCTTGTTTCTTTGGCCCCGAGGTCAAGTAGAACAAGCACAGCTCAGCTTGTTTCACTATGACTAAGCTATCATGTTGTGCAGAGGACACTGATGCATGCTCTGCATTGAAAATATTCCTTAGTTTGTTCTATACCCAAACCACCATCTCCAACTATTACCGAGATTGGTAGTGCTGCAAGCTAAAATTTTATCCACTTCTTTGCTAACAATGAAGTTAGCATGGACTTACGTGCCTGTGTCTTTGTCCATATTATTTTTGTTTTACTAGACTGAAACTGGACAGTGACACTTTTGGCAGACTACTTATTATCTGACTACCTTCCTTTTTGCTGTAGTCAGTTCAGAGAGGGTGCAAGTATAGAAAATCTTAGGTAACTACACAATAGTTTGAGGGAGGGGGCCTTTGGGGAAGTGGAAGAAACTACCTGAACTTCTTCCAAATAATCATTTTCTACTAGAAGTGGTGGTGTAATTGCATGCAGAAACAAGCAGTATCCTCTGGCTCAGATCAGCAATCAGGCTCGAGGGGGATGAAGGAAGCCTGGAAATCTCCTAGAAAGCCAACTTCCAGTGACAGTAGGAAGCAGCAATGCAATATTCTCATGCAGCAGATAAGTGCTTTTCTGCATAAACTGCTGCCTGTAGATAATACTAACATTCAAGGCTCGTAACTCCTAGCACTTTCAAACCTTTATGCAGACATAAAATTATTGAGTAACACAGGTATGATTGCAGTCAGTTTCAAATTTGTCATGGGATTCCAACTATTACATGCATACATTTTGGTGTAAATTGAAACTTCTTAAACCTCAGATCGGAAAACAATGTCCATTAGTAAGAAGTTCTATCTTTAACTCTTCATACAGTGTATTCATGATATGTGAAGCCACAGAATCCTTTCCTAATTCTAACTTGGCAGCAAATACTAGGAGAAAGATTTTAAATAGCCTGCAATGTTATCAGTCATTGGAATAACTACTCAGTCATTTGAAAGTCAGAGAGGAATAGCTGATCCTCAAAATATATGTAGCATTTAGCAAAGACTTCCATGAAACACTATGCATCTTGCAGCAAAGAAAGTGCAGAGAGCGGTAATCACAAAGGACTGACTGCAAGTATGAGCATACCTGCAAAACATTTCAACATAAAGCTGTAGAAAACAGGTAGTCTAAGCTGTCTAAGCTGTTCATTCTGATTCTGCTTTGCTCTTGATGCTTTTTAATTAGTCACTGCAATATCAGGTTGTTGCATTTAAGTACCTGGATTTCTTCACTGTATCAGCTGCTAATAATCTGCTTATATCTAACCAGTCTAATAAATTCTTGCACCAAAGTTTTCTGGAAGTTTTAAGAAGTACTAGATATGATTTTTTTTTTCAGCATTAGAAAAAAAAAAATCATTTTTGGAAGAAGAGAGCTACTGAGAACAAAATATAACCTAACCAAACCATAATTGTACTGGAACTGCTATGAGATTGATAATTATGTAGTCAAACATTGAATAATTATCGTACAGTGTAATTGCTTAAATTTCAACATCCAGCCAAATCTGGCTGTAGTTCAGAATTCAAACAATAACTGTAAGTGCTGTGAAATCTTAGAGACAGCTCTACTTATTGTTTTATTACTGTTCTTATGATTTATCTCGTTTTTCATTTAGTAAGAGGATTAATTCAGGTATCTGCTGCCACCTCTGACTTTTAAAAAGTGTTATTTATTAAATGAAGAAAGGAAAAAGTTAAAGCAGAGGAAGAACAAGCAAGAAACAAATAACAGTTTTACCATTTATGATATTTCCTTAAGGATCAATGCCACTCAGTGTCTTTCTTAAACCAAAGAAATATAATATGTATGTAGAACACATCTATTATAGCTATGAAAGTTTTTAAGATGTCAGTATTATTGTCCATTATAAAAAGTGTACATACAAGTATCCTATCATGTTTTCTGATTATTCACTTTGTGTATCCTTGCTAATAGATTTAAAATAAATAAATAAATAAATAAAGGAATCAGACGCTGCATCTATGAAAACAAACATTTGCTTCTCTTTGATCTTAATGAGAAGAACAGCTTCAAAGAAAATATCAATGCTTTGTCACATACAGGGGTTCCCTAGACTATTTTAGGTCACTTGGTTAAATAAGAAAACTTCACAAGGTGCATCAAAATATTAAGGAATCTGTGGTCCTCTTTTCTTAAGAAATCTCACCTCAGTTTTATGTAAATCTGATAGAACTCATTTTGTTTGGTTAGAATAGTTTAATGTAGAAGTGCTATAGTTACAATGTATGTATCTGAAACTATCACTGAATTACCAGATTAAACCAAATTTTAAGCATTATCTTCCTCATAGAGAACTAAATTCAGTGATTCTGTTGAGCCAGTGACACTGGGAGAGTTGAGGCTTGTGAGATATGCACAGTACAATGATGCAACATAAATTATGAAGAAAAGATTCTTTTAATTCCATTACTATGAGCTTTCTGCTTTGAAAAGAACAAAGGAGAGGTTTAAAACCGATGAACATTTATGGTTCACTAATTATCTTGTTCTTCAGCATTTCATTTGTATTTGCATACAGACCATGAGGTAGATGATTGTTGATTTTTTTTTTTTAGTTCTCGGATTATCAGAGCTACATTGTGAATAGCTGTGTGAAAGAGAATCCAACAATGGAAAGGTCAATTGCTCTTTGCAATGGTATCTCTCAGTGGGTGCAGCTAATGGTTCTCAGTAGACCAACACCACAGCTTCGAGCTGAAGTATTTATCAAATTCATTCACGTTGCACAGGTCAGTTAAGTTTTGATATACAATACTTTGACTTTCTCTGAAACAGTCCCTTAATTTCTTATCCCCCTGCCCCCACTGTCAACTGAGAAAGAGAAGTTGGCAGTGATCTTCCATTTCATACATATAGTATGCATACTTGTGCCATGCTATGGTCTTATGCCAGGTATTTACATATTACAATGTAAGAATAGGCAGCAGCAACTATAGTTGCCTTTAACCAGCTTCAGAGCACCCAAGAAAATCAGCAGCCAGTCCAACAATAAAGAAGGAATCACTTACCCCTTTCCAAAATCAGGACCCACAGGAAGCAATCCCCAAGTAGAGATAACATCTTTGTGGCTGCCAGCCCTTAAATGAGGTTTGGAACTGAGGGTTCACCCCTTCTGATCACACAAGTGAATTGCTTGCAGCTGTGCCCTCAAGGCTGGTCAAACCCCTTCTCCAAGTGCTCAATCACTGGTTCAGGCTGTGACCTAACAGTCCCCATACACAGTATCTTCAGTCTCTACAGTTTTCTCCTATTCATTCTGAAGGAAGTATTTTCACAGAAAAATGAGATTAGTATATTCTTCAAATCAGTTTGTGAAGTGTCAAGTTGAAAATGCCTGTCATTCCAATGTATGAACCGCTGTGATGATTTTGGCCTTAAGTACAATTGCTTCTACTTATGCTTCATGTGATAGAAGCAAAGCTATCCTTCTACTGATGGTTTTTGCATACTAGTCCGTCTGTGACCATAAACAAGAAATTGGACAGTGCTGTTGCAGACTGTGGGAAGAAGGAGAAATACTGAGGAGTCCTTTGAAGACTTGCTGTATATGTGGAATTATTGTTATTTAATAACAAATGAATGTTACACTCACCAAAATCACAATTCCAGTACTGGAGTGAATGAAGTCAAATAGATTGTGGTACAAAACTTCTAAGAATTTGGTCCTGAATAATAGAGGAAATGCAGAATTTGAATGTACATATGGTACAACTTTAAATACAACGACAACAGCTTTAAATAATGAATACTATTTGTTTGTATGTCAATGCAGAAGCTTCACCAGTTGCAGAATTTCAATACATTAATGGCAGTGATAGGAGGTCTCTGTCACAGTTCCATTTCCAGACTCAAGGAAACAAGCTCATGTGTTCCTCATGATGTAATTAAGGTTGGTATTTTAACTTTTACGAATCGTGTAGATTTAAACTTTTTTGGTCACTTCTCACAAAAACAAACAAGTTCACTTTGTTAGACATGACATAGAGCAGACTGAAAAAAAAGGAAGAGTTCCCTCACTCCTGTTTTTTTTGTCACTTCCTTTTACAAACATCAGTTACTCCTACACTTTCAATGTCTCCTTCATAGATTTGTAGAGCTACTTTAAAGTTTCTGTTTAATATCTGGATATGAAAACACCTGTTTTCATTTAGAAGCACACAGAAGTACAGAATAGCATTGAAATGTGAAAGCAGACAATTAGTTCCTACAACATCTAAGAACAAAACTTTTGCTGACTAGCTTGAGTCTATAAAACTCAAACACAGACCTCTGCACTTTAATACTGGAAAGACCAATTTTGTTTACCTGATCTTTCCCTGTGATAGACTTTATCTAGTCAGACTTGAATAAATTTAGCCATAAGAAGCACGTGGTCATAATTTTGCTGAGATTCCAGCTACTAAAACTAAGAAAACATTATTATTATTATTATTTTTTAAGCAATTAAATGGCTTTAATCATTTGCTCTTAAGAGACTAATACACTCCACTCCTGAAAGAATTCATATGGGCATCTAACAAACCTGCTTTGGTCATAGAGTATAATGAACAGGTTTAATGAACAATGCATATCTGTAATATAGAGCAGAAATATCCCCTTCCACTGATAACAGTTGTATTTCTTAAAATCCATTGACCCAGTTGAGCAAGCTTATTTTAAAGGCATGTTTTGTTGTTGTTGTTGCTTGTACAAATTTACTCACCATGAGGAATGCACATTTACTCATCATTTGGAAAACATTTTGCATCATTTTATAGAAATATTAATAAAAACTCGGAAAATAAAGGCTGATAAGTAGTGGCTTTACCAGTTTAAAGTTTACTTTGAAATTTAATTAAAGGACTGATTTCTGAAGGTTAAAAATTGAGTGGGTAAACAGGAAGTTCCACAAAGAAAAACAAACAAAAAAGAAACCAACCAAACAAAGAACTCTACAAATCACAGTAAAACATTGTCCTATTAACTTTATAATATTAAAATGCAGCTTTATGCCTTGATAGTTTTAATTAAGGAAAGTATTTATATTGCTATATATGTATTGCTAGACTTGGGATTCATTTGGCTTTCACAACAAGGTACAGTGTATGTTTCTTTCTTCTTTTCAAGGAAAAGTTTTTCTTCAAAGCACTGACATGCCACCCTGAATTGTAGGAATTCCGGCCATATTATGGAGGCACAGTATAGGGTTTCAGGTGGCAATTCCAACTGGTGACTCGGGAGCCAGAGAATTACATTTCACATTTTAATGTGAAGACGCTTGCTTCTGGGAAGATCAGAGACACAACATCTGCAGACACATCCCCTTGATTTTAGAGGGTTGTATTTTTTTTCCATTGTCTAAATAGGGAATGTAGGAAAACTGGCATTACAGACTGGCATTAATAGGTTATTAATTTAAGTGAGGTGAATAACTAGATTTCATGTGGAGCCTAAGATTTACATTTGAAAAGTCCACTTTGGGAGCCGCTGTGAACAAGCTACATAAGAATAACATGGGAAATTACTGTGGCATATAAGTAGAACAGAAAGAATTTTGACAGTTTGATTTTTATTTTATTTTTGACTATTTTCTTTTCATTTTTAGGTGTTTAATGAAATGACAGAACTGCTTTCATCTTGCAGAAACTATGACTGTTATCGACGTGCTTATAATGAGTGCACTAACTTTAAGATCCCAATCCTTGGGGTCCACCTGAAAGACTTGATATCACTTCATGAGGCTATGCCAGACTACTTAGAGGACAAAAAAATTAACATATGCAAACTGTACTCTCTCTATAACCACATAAATGAGCTAATACAGCTCCAGGAAATGCCACTTCCCCTGGAGGCTAATATGGACCTTGTTCATTTGCTTACGGTAAGTCTATTGGAATAGAGAAATACTTCAGTATTTAAAATAATTTTCAATTGCCTCAAACTGAACTAAATAGAGAATTATATTAATTATAAATACCTAATGTTATAAGATTCTATATTTTTCTCCTTATGGAAGTCTATAGTAGCAGAAGAGGAGAAAAAGCTAGTGATGCTGATTTACCAAGCAGCAAGGGTAGAAACACCGTGAGCAATATGCTTCCAATTATTTCTATAAAAGAAGAAAACATTCATATTTCTGTTCCATGACAATAGCATACATTATCTCTGATCTTTCCCTAATGAAACACTCTGAATCCTCTGCTAACTGAACCTAAGCAGGAAGAAAGGTAGAAAGTTTCCCTTGCTACATTATGAAAGCAGAAGATTGCATATAAGGTTGCCTCCTGTAAAATATATAAATTTGGGAAGTTTATATGGAGGGGATTACTCAAGAAAAGGTTAAACATGCCACATTTCCAGCCAGGTTTCTTCTGGTACTTGTGAAACTATCTGACATAAAAATCTGTCATGTTGTTTCATTATGCTTCTAGTCATCTTTAGTCAGTGCTATCTTGGGAATAACACTAACACTACCTAGCACATGCTACAAAATATTTTGCTTCTCCTTTTAAATTTAAGTACTATCTCTTTATTAAAATAGAAATTCTACCTTTCTTGTTTCTTAGTTTTGTTTGTCCCTATCAAGCATCTCAGATTGGATAAGCTATATACCATTCCTTTTGGTTTGTGGTTACACGCTCTATTTCAGCAAAATCTGGTAGATAACATGCACATGCTTGTGCACTTGAGATTATTTGTTCTTTTAAGGAGCAATGAGGGCCACAATTTCATGTAAGTATGTATTACAGGACATAAAATAATTACTTCACTTTAAAACAAGAGTTTCCCATCAACTAATATTCCTGGGCACATAGTGTTCGTGTTTGCTTTTTGTTGTTTTCTTCCCAACAATCTGTATCCTTTGCTTTCCTATCAACAGGCAATCAGTTTGAAGAGACAGTCAGTACATTATTTTCTATACTATTTTGCAAGACACATCCATAAACAAAGGTGTACATTTGGTAACTTTTTCAAATTCCTGAACTTATCTGAATATAATGTTTCTCACTCTGCATAACTGCAGCTGATAGTTAAATTCTAACTAAATATATACATGTCCATCTTTCATCCTCCTCATGCACTTCTTGATTCAACCTGGTTCACTCAAGTTTCATGAGAATTAAAGTTGATGTTGAATTTCATGGGCTGGTGATTACATTGCGTGAAAAACTATCAATATATCATGGCAGTAACAGGTTTTTTTCAGGTTACTTACTAACACGCTGATGCCTACAGTCACTTGCAATGTTAATGTTACAGATTTCCAGACAGTAGCAACAACAGACTGGAACTTAGAAATGCATCCATTTCAAATCATGTTCAACACCTGTGCAGCGTTGTTTTGTTTTCTTTTTCCTAGGTGCAAACTTGAAACACCAGACTACCAAAAAATATGAATGCAGGCCAGGAACAAGTAAATCAAGTAGTAGTAACTGCTCTGGGATTAAGCTAATGTTCTGTTTATTTTCAGCTGTCCCTTGATCTGTACTACACAGAAGATGAAATTTATGAACTTTCATATGCACGAGAGCCAAGAAGTCACCGAGCTGCTGTAAGGACCTTTCCAGATTCTTAACAAAATAACTTTATGAATAATGCAGTTAATATCCCTTGCATCCATCTTATTTTATTTTCAGCAAAACTGAAAACGGAGCAAAACTGAGCAAAATCCATTAAAGCAAAAAAATGTTTGGTTGATGATGAAACATAAAGGAGAGTGCATGTGAGACTTGATGCTGTATCAGGTTTCCTAAAAAACACAAATGCAGTTACTTGTACAGAGGCATCAGGCTTCCTCTTGAAAATCAATACTGGTTCTTTTAGGTTAAGATTCTTCTGCGATTCAAATGATCAAATTTGTGAGTTTTATGTTGCAGTTTTTGATTCTGTTTTGGAAAAAAATCGTGAATTTATAGGGCAGTCAGTGAATTGTGACAATGTAAGAAAAGACAGTTCAAGGAAGTTGAAGTATGACAAAATTATCAAAAATATGACTTTGTGTCCGAGAGGCCATTTCTGCAGTCCTTTATTTCATAGTCCATTGTCACAATTGAAAGAAGTATAATATCAAAAATATTTTAGTGTGGTACTAATAAAGTTTCATTCAATTTATTGTAGCCTTTGACACCTTCCAGACCACCAGTAGTGGCAGACTGGGCCTCAGGAGTAGCCCCAAAACCTGATCCGAAAACAGTCAGCAAACATGTTCAGAGGATGGTGGATGTAAGTATGGTTGGACCATTTACCTTATATCTCAGTTGTAGTCTTAACTGCTGGGTACAAAAGGATGCAAAGAAAGAAACAAGCTATTGCTACATTCAAAACTGTGCTGAGTTTGTTAGCACTTCTGTCTGCACAAAATGGATATTTCTGCTACCTTCAAACAGCATTAGCAGTGAGGTATGAGAGGAAATTCCTTAAATAACGAAGAAGCCAGCCAGGAATGTGAAAGTTGATTTGTATTCTTCCAGAGTCATTCTTTCAAGCAGACAAGTATTCCCACTCTAGCAGGGTCTTCAACATCATGTTACTGGTAGAATCTGAAAGCAGACCTCTCAACAGCTTTGTTACTAGCAGCCATTGCTTTTTTTTTTTTTTTTCTCATTTGGGTCATCAGTTTTATTGGTGACTGATTTCAAAACAGAAACGTGGAGAGAAGTAAAGATTTTCTTTACATTCCTGCATCATCTCTTTTTCTTCTAAAGACTTGCTTGTTATCCCTTGATAAACACATACTATTTTGGAGTGTATTTCTAAATTTGTCCTACATATGCTCCTTGCTCCAGGACCAACCCAGTCGGTAATGTCATTCCACAAGTAGAAATAAGTCTTCATATAACTGATTCTCACATAACATTAACCTGATCAAATAAGCCAGGCAGCTGCAGCGGTTTGTCGAGAGACCATCATTGAAAGCATTAGTACAAGTTGTGTAAGTAGACCTTAGTGATGATCTTAAAGAGAAACTATGAGGTCCGCTCTGAAAGTAAAGCCTGCTATTTTATTATGTTGGCCCTTGACATCAGTGGTGGATGCTGGTGGTATGGCAGTAGATGTTGAACCTTCTGTCAACATTGTGTTACATTTTGTTGCCAAGTAACAGATGGCAATGGAGATGTCACACAGAGTGGCATCTGACATGGAAGTGCATATGGAGTGGTAGTGTATCACTGATTTCCCCCATGTAGAAAAAATGGCACCCACTAACATTCATTGATGCTTTCTGAATGTTTATTCAGACCAAACAGGGGATGCAAGAACAGTGAGGTGGTGGGTGGAGTGTATCAGCAGTGGCACTGTCATAGTATCTGTGAAACAATGGGTCGGCTCTGCTATGCAGATTTTTACGAGCATGGCATGCAGGCTTCTGTTCACTGCTGATTAAAATGCATAGCTAATGGTGGTGACCAAGTTAGAAATAGGGTTTTGTAGCAGAGAACTTGTTCTATCAAATAGTGTTATTGTGCTCTTTCTATCTGTTGTAATTTCTATGGAAATACGTAGAGGTATTACTTTTGGAGCGAACTGTGTAAATAAGAGCTAGCCTTGTGTAGTGAACCATTCAGTTGTGTCTGTATTGACCTATCACCTATCTGCATTTTCCTAAGAATCAGGAAATCATAATGCTTCTTTAGACTCAAGAAAAAAAAAATATAAAAACTCTTATATTATTTAATAGATATTGAGGGAAAGTGGGAGAGGAATGCTTTAAATATTGTGGACAGTTTCTGAAGTGCGAATGTAATAAGCTTCTACCCTTGTAATAAACTATTCTATTATTATCTTATACAGTCTGTCTTCAAAAATTACGACCACGATCAGGATGGTTACATTTCTCAAGAGGAATTTGAAAAGATAGCAGCCAGTTTTCCATTCTCATTTTGTGTAATGGCTAAGGACTCGTGAGTACTCATAAATCTCCTTTCACCCAGTTCTGCTTATCAACCCTGGCTTGTTTGTTTTGTTTTCTCTTCTTCTATCACTAGGATCGTAAAATCATCCTCTTCACCAGCAAAGTAAAAACATAACTGACAAAAGCATCATTCAAATGTTTTGTGAATGAGCTTACAGCAGTGGTTGATGTAGCAGGAAGAATAAAGATAAAAGAAAAATAGAATATTTTTGAATGACAGTATATACCACTGAATAACTTTCAAAAAATGAACCTGACCCTCAAAAACAGAATTGGCAAATGTATATTTTGGAAAAATTAAGAACATTCTTCTTAGCACCTTAAAATGTGGAAAAATAAAACTGATAATAATATCAATAAAACTAATAAATAGTTTTGAAGTTGCATCTCATATGCAGATTATTCATTTATCCTTACAGGCTTACAGAAATTATCCTTACAGAAATTATAATGTGCAGAGAAGCTTCTGTAAACTTTGGGAGTAGTTGACAAAATTGTTGATATCACTGCAGGTTTCGATCAATTAAGATATTGCCATTATAAACTGTAAAGAAAAGGTATGTTTAATTCTTTTGCTTTTAAGAAAACAGATGCTTCACAAACAACTTTTCTTGTTTATTTTCAGGGAAGGTCTGATTAGCAGGGATGAAATAACCGCTTACTTTATGAGGGCTAGCTCAATCTATTCCAAATTAGGACTTGGCTTTTCTCACAACTTTCAGGAGACCACTTACTTAAGACCTACTTTCTGTGACAACTGTGCTGGATTTGTAAGCTCTCCTTTTTTATTCTTTTTTTTTTTTTTTTTTTTTAATTGAAGGCAAATTATGTTAGTATTGTCTGGACAAATACCTGTTTTTATCAGATAATTACCTCATGTGACCTACAAAAACCTATACAAAACATCAGTGAACCTACAAAGAAAAGAAGGCTGCTGCCCATGTAGCTATGTAATGTGCCCTTTCATACATTCCAGTCATGGTAGTATTATGTGCTTAAACACAGCTCCTTTCTTGTGTTTGGCTATGTCACTTAGACAAGACTTCCAAATTCAGAGATTTCCACTCCACTGAGCTGTTAGAATTCGTGCTATTAGAGACCATCCAAAGGAGGACTATGAAAAAGCTCAACTGTCTGGAAGGCAACAGATAATGTGGAGTGCCTGAGGCCCCTTGGTTTATTCAGCCCAGAGCAGAGGAAGCTGAGGAGAGGCCTTGTGGCAGCCTGCAGCTCTTCAGAGGGGCAGCAGCGATCTCTGCTCTCTGTTGACAGTGACAGAACCTGAGGGAATGGCATGGAGCTGCGTCAGGCAGCTGAGGTGTTAGGAAAGGGTTCTTCACTTTGCTGGAATAGACTCCCCATTTGGCCAATGCTGTCAGAAATATGATTTGAATTCTGGGTGGTCCTATACAGAGCAAGAATTTGGAGTCAATGATCCTTGTCAATCCTTTCCAACTTAGGGTATCCTATCATTTTATGAACTCGTGTTTGGTACAGATGTGACATGATTCCTGCCTAGCACAAGAAGATTTAGTAAAACTGAGTCCTACTGCTCCCTAGCTTAGCTGGGATCAAACAAGAGTGATGATATGAAATTCTCCATCTACTCCAGTTCCACAGCTTTACTTTGGGCTGTCAGATCTGCTGATGTATTCATTAGAGACTAGGTCAAGCTATTTTGTTTGTGATTAAGGAGCATACATATAAATATTGCCTGCTAAACAAAATATTTATACTAAAGAGGTAGATGGTTCGTATTTTGATTTTACCATTAAAAGAATAGAAAAACAAAGTATTCTGCTGGTGCTCACATTTCAGAACTGAGTGGAGCTTTTAGCGGATTTCTATATCTGGAGGTATAAACCGTGCAGAAATAAATACCCTTTCTGTTTGTCTGAATTTCAGCTATGGGGAGTAATTAAACAAGGATTCAGATGCAAAGGTAAGAATTTTTATTTTTTTTATTTTTTGTTATATTTAATCTATAATTAACGGTGAATGACAAAAAGGAAAAAAACAAACAATAAAAAACCAGCCCTGATCATTCCAAGATCTATTGTTGTAGACCTATTTAATCTGGCTTCTGAAGGAGGAGAAGGCTGACTTAAAATTAAGATGACAGATTGATGCTCCAGAAGAAATGCAAAGCTGAATGAACTGTTCTACTCTTTGCAAATCTTCACTGAATCCAGAGGGTTGAGGAACAGACCCCTCTATTCTGATGAATGAGAACATCAACTCTCTGTGACAACTGTATAACAGACTCAAGTATTTTGTAGGGTTTTCCACTCATGCAGGTATCTGCGTTCTCTGCAACTCTACAGTCAGAAATCTGTTGCAACCGAATGTTGCTATTTGATATTTTCAAAATGAAAAGACCTTTGAGGTGTATAGCAAAGGAAGAGAGCTTTCTTAGTTTATGTTGTTTCAGGTAACGCATGTAGGGATCACAAACATTTCCCTGCTTCTTGGGCAGAAAACTCAGTGTGAGAGTTATCTTAAGCACAACAGAGACACTGAATTGTGTATACTTTCATTTGTTTACAGACTGTGGAATGAATTGCCACAAGCAATGCAAAGACCTGATTGTGATAGAGTGCAAGAGAAGACACAAAACTTCTGTTGCAGACAGCAGCCCAACATCTGCTCTTGCTTCAAGCCTCTGCACAGTAGCAGTTAAAGAGCAATTCCATGGTGAGGAAAGGTCACATTAAAAAGCTCCAAAGATCTAGATAATTTTTAAGTTGTTTCTTTTATTTTAAAGATAAGTTGTACTGCACTGTTTTGAGTTTTGTTAGTTAGTTACAGAGTTTTATCAGCCTAATAACTATAACTAAGCATTCCAGTTCAAGTCTTAGGTGAATAAATTTCTAGGAGACCTCTCCTCACACCAAACAAGGTAAGGTGCACAAATTCCACAAGAATTCAGTAAGTCTTCAGCCAGATTCTCATGAGAACTTAAATGCCATGAAATGAAGAGTTGCCAGCTTTCCTTAACTCTCCCATCTTGTAAGAAGCAGGTCTTGGTATGCTTGTTTTTACTGTTGTTGTTACATTAAGGAACAGCTGTACTAGTACAATTCTAAAATTTCAATGTGGAATCTATAAAGTAGATACTTACGTATCTTTGTGTTAGGAATCCACAACTCCTCTTGACTCAATTTACCATATATATTCTGTAGGACAAGAAGAAGGACCATTCACATTTCCAAATGGAGTAGTAGAACACAATGAAGACAGCAAGGACCGAACTATTATGCTCATGGGCTCCTCAGCTCAGAAAATCTCAGTAAGATTGAAACCAGCCGTAGTTCATAAAGGTATACAGACAGACTCCACACTGCTGGCTGTTGATGTATCACATAGGTCAATGGAGAAGAAAGAGAAAAGGATACTAGAAAATCCTTATCTCCAGCCCATCCCACCATCCCCACGTCCAAGCCCATTACTAAGCCGTAAAAAAGCATATGTTAAATGGGAAAACAAGGAATCCAGTCAGAAAACGAAGGAGGAGCATCACGAGCACCACAGCTATAAACCCTCATACCAGGAACTTGAGCGGGTACGTACATAGTGGAACGTATTTGGTTTTACACACCAGTACTGTAAAGAGTGTGAGGATGTGGCTGGGTGGGAAGATGTCACTCTGTCACTGTTCTCAAGTATAATTAATTGCCAGAACAATCCCTGAGGGACATAATGAGTTCTTAGTCTCTTTACCTCCAGCAATGCTTCACTTCAAATAGAAATTTAAATAGTAGTATAGGCCTTAGGGAATGTGTTCCGAAGACTTTACTATGATTATATTGATCCCTGTCTTCCTTAGAAGTGACAAGGAAGTCTGTGACCACAGTCCGACTGCTTAGGAAAAGGTATTACTCCATAAAATGAGTTATATTTAAGGAATTGTCTTCCACACATGTAATACAAGACTGGGAATGCTGAATAAGTGTTTTAACATGTTTGACAATCTTCTATTTATGTACAGCATAATGTTGAAAACAGATAAACACTTCCTTAACAAAAATACTTGTAGCTAAAGATAATGACTTCTAATACAAATTTAAAACAGCAATGTTAGACAAAACCAGAAATTCACAGCACTTTAGAGAACGCAGAAGAAAAAACATTCAGGGAGATGCACATGAGTTAAATAAAGAATTGTAAATCTCACAGTTTTAACATTTTTAGTTAAAAAATAAGCATTCTTTACATGAATATCTCAATCTACTTTGGAAACAACTGTTCTAGATAATGCATGGGGTAGTTGCCTGTATTCATTTCCTTGTGGATTACAATGCTGGCAAATCAGCTCAGTGCACTAGCATCAAATTTTCTGCAATATAGTATAATCTGTTATACACTGTACGGCTTCATTTCTCCTATATAATGAAACAATATACTAAACCAGTCTAGAACAATTTGATTGAAGCTCCTTATTTGGCTTGAAATAATAAGCAACAGGAATATACCAAAGCTTCTAAAAGGAGGAGCTTTGAAAGGATAGTAAGATGCTCCTAATACTTAGAAGTATTTTTTTTTAAGAAAGAAGATTTTGCATAATTTAAATTCTAAGAGCCATATAAATACTTGCAGATTTGCATATTCTTAAAGGAAATCAGAACAAAACAGGGTGAAATAATCATATCTCCATCAAGTTGCTCACTGTTTATTCATCTACTTGAAATTTGGATTTTCAATGTCATGTCTAAATTCCAGCCCAGTGAGATCAATAAGCAGCGACTACTGCTGAATATGAAAAGCAGCAAAGCTATGTCTTGACACCTATCTTATATTTGTATTCCCGGTTACTTAATCCTCATGGCATGGTCTCATTTTGGATTAATATGTTATAAAAATAAGTTTGTTCTAATCTAACTGTTGTGAATATTTTTAACAGCTTCCAGAAAATTTTAACATGACCCATCTTAAAAGAAACAGCGAAACTGACATTTTCCTCCCAGGAGCCAGACTGCTATCTAGAGTATCTTCATGTACTCAAAACATTAGCTTCAGTTAATTCCATCTTGGATTTTGAATACCTCACTAGATATTTCTGTAGCTCAGGTTCAGAATAGTCTATTTATTGCATTTGCCTTTAAAATTCACAGTCCACACTTTTCAGTTTTGCATTCATAGAGCACATGTGATCTGTATTTATTTATTTTTTTTAACTGCTATAGCATGTAGTAGACAGTCCCTAAAGCACTAATCTGTGCCAATCTGTAAGCAAACAAAATGACAGTCACATTCCCATTGAGTTTTCTGGACTTATTACTGTCCAGAGATAGATACTGTCTTAGAGACAGATAGGAAGAGAACTATAAGAATTCATTAAGATAAAATTATTTTCAGTGCATAGTCCCTACAAATTATCTTTCAGCATTTTGGTTTTGGAAAAAAAAGTTATGTAGGTAAACATCTAGGCATGTTGCCCTCTCCACTCCCCCACCTCACCCCCCAAGAAAAACAAAACAAATATCACTTTCGTAGCCCTGAATTTCTTTCAGGTTTAGAAAGCAGTCAAATAACATACTGCTCCCTGCTGCTAAGAGCTACACCAACTGATCTTTATGCCAGTCAACCTACATGCACAACCAGACAATCCTGAAACAAATGTAAAATCAAATACCTTTTTTTTTTTTTGTTTCCTTAGGAAAGAAATATTCTAAAGGCAGACAATGAAGGTTTAAAGATGCAACTGGAGCAGGCACATAAAACAATTGAATCTCTTACGATTCAGAGAAAAAATCATGTTATTGACAATCTACAACACAAAGACTGCTCCTAGCAGATGAGGGGAAGCTTCTTCTGGAAGAATGTAAGACTGAAGGGAACAATTGTGAAAAAGCTGCTTTACCAAGTGAACTGGAAAGACACTCCAAAAGATTTTAAAACATAAATACTCTCTTTATTCTATACATTTCCCTACTGAAAACACACTCCCAAGTCTATAAATGAATTCCTTCAATTTAAGGTATGTTAGCATCATCTGCATAATGAACACAGTATCTTCTGGGATTGTTTTTGAAAGGAGTGGCACTGCTCCTGAAACTTTTGTACGTGAGGACCATGTGGATTCTACAGTGACTTGGCTGCACATCTCACGCTACAAGTGCTCTAAGTAGCTACTCATAAGACTGTCACTTCAAATTTGGCCCAAATTCAGGTTTGTAGAAACAAACACTCAATAGAGATAAGCATTTAAGTAAATCTGTATTCCATTAAGAGGGAGAGTTCTTTCTCATTGTGGCTGAAACCAATTAAAAACATTACGTAGACAGTCATCTTTATTTCTAGAGTTTAGCATATTGAATATTAATACAAGTAGTTAAACTGATCTTTAGACTTTGTTATGGCATACTGACAAAAGTTTTAAAACTTCATTAAGGTAAAACATGAGACTAGAGAGACTAGAGAGAGTGAATTCAGCTTCCATTTCAGTGTTCCAGTTTACAGCTTGGAATACTACTCATTGGGCTTAACGGGTAGCTTGCTCTCCCTGTACTGTAGATAATGCAGGGATAACATTGACTATTTTTTTTAACATCAAAGTGCATACCAGTGTTGTAACTTCTGAGTCGTATCTTAAGGACCATATTATGAAGGAAACTGCATAGCAATCTCAATGCAGTGGATATTGTATTCCAGTTTCTAACACCTTATGGTTCTAACCAGGATTTATTCAGTTTCCCTCATAGATTTCATACGCACTTTAGGTGAAGAGTCAAGGTGACTGTGCTCTTACGTGTGTAGACTTTGTACAGTGAAAGGTGCTAGGGAAGTAATGTAGTTTTCTTAGAACTACAATGTGTACATACTGTTAGGAGATGACAAATCCGTCTTTCAAGTTACTGGTGAATCTTTTAGTCATAAGAGCCAATCTTAAAATTTGCATTTCACAATAATTCTTAGAATTGTATAAAACTCACTTGCTTTTATAAAAAATGGATGGCATCGAGCATTTAAACAGCAGAAGCTGAAATTAACATATCTATTTACAACATACTTTCGTGCTCCAGCAGGGGGGTTGGACTAGATGATCTTTGGAGCTCCCTTCCAATCCCTGACATTCTGTACTTCTGTAATATACTTAGTGCTCTTCAAAACTTGCAAATTAGTTTACAAAGTCCATGACAGATTAAATTTTTAGTTGACCCCTTACTACAGCATGTGTGCTTCGTGTTCAGTGGCTTAGATGTATGCTCTGTTTCCAGCTTACAGTCATTAATTGTAAAGCATATTAATACTTTATTTATTTTTTTAAAAGTCAATCTGAAACTACTTACAAATCTACTGGTTCTAAGTTCCTGGTTAGAACTTGAGTTGTGTCTGCATCCATGACTAAATAAAGACAAATACAGGGAGAGAGTAGTAGTAATAGTAGTATTAGACTTTCTGTTATCTTACTGTAAATAAATATGATCTGTGAAGAATTTAAATGCATATGACAAATCTAGCTGTTGTGAAGATTGTGAAACTTTTGTTCCTCATACACTAAACCTGAATTATTAACAGTTAACATGAAATTGCACTTTTATCAATGAAGCAACCAGAATGGCTCTCAAACCATATTTGCACATTTGCTTTGCCAATTTTCTGTGATCTTCTTGATTTTTGTCCTCTCTGCAGGACTACAGTGAGAAGTATTTCTAATACACACTTAGCAGATAAAAAGTCTATTTCTACAACAATTAAAAGGAACAGCATGAATGTTGGAAATGTTTCAATGTATTTGGAAAATACCTTAGAAGAGCAGCAAAATTTGGCAAATCTTGTGCATCTAAGGAAACTCTGCTTGCTTATGGTTTCAATTCTAACAGAATTTCTGTATGTGTGTGTGTATGCATACATATATACACACACACTTTGCCTATTCTAGGAGGGTGGAAGAGGGAGAAAATTAACGAATCAGTATTTGGAAAGTTCCCTAATGCCAACACTGACCCAAAGGTTACTGTGTTGGTAACATTGAGTACTTAATGCTTAAAATCAAGTCAAGACTGTAGACTTGTACAGTCTAAAATTAAAACTTACTTTTCTGTCACCCTGTTCCTATAAACAGAATGACTTAGACCCAATCTGTTTGCAGGATCATCTTACAGAACCCATACATGATACTTCACGTATGCTGAAAACGTACTGCTTCAGATGAATTTATTGATACCTGAAAAATTTCAAAGCTCTCCAATTACCTTCAAGGTGTTTGCCCAAAGCCTCTTGCAGTGTTTTGTTGTTGTTGTTGTTGCTTTGTTTTGGTGGTAATCCCTTGTTATTACTTTGCAACTTCCTTTTTGCTGCATGAAATAATAGCGTTAATAGCAAATACTGACTATACAAGGATACTGATAAAACTGACAAAGCTACTGAGCAAAAATCACCCACATCTCTGTTGATCTTACTGCTACTTTATGCTAGGAAAAATGATATAATGACAGTATTAAGTGCTGTTTAGAGGACTCATCAGCAAGCACTGGTATTGAATACCATTTAACTATTATCTTGTCACAGTTAACATAAATGAAAAGCACTCACCTTTATTCTTTCTCCAGGCTCAGCTGTGTTTCATATACGTACAGAAAGGAAGAAAAAATGAAATGTTCATACCCCAACTACTGTTTATTTTCTAAGTATGAATTCTGATCCTTAAAAGATGAAAGTAAGTAGACGGAATGATCTAACAATGAAAAGGCCAGAGCTAATGTTAATACTGAAGACCACTGCCTTTAAAATAGCTTACTTAAACTTTTGAAAATACAAAACAATATTACCTTTTGGAATTCTTTGTTACAGTAGCAATCTGTTATCCTGTGGGAACTGATCTCTACTCCATTTTTGTTTCAGTGCTACTAATGAAGATTGAAAAAGTGTACAGACTGTAAACATTTATATAAAGTGTAAGAAATCAGTTTAATATTTATAATAGAAAAAAAAATGTTAAAATTGTACTTTGTCTCTGAGTTTGTATCTAAAAGAAAGAAACCTTAACAACATATATTCATTTTCCTCGAGTCTGTCATTTGGGACACTTCTGCAGGACTGACCTCGTATATGTGAGTCTCAAGTCTACATTTACATTCTTGAGCCTGAGGACACCAAGAGAACTTGGGAAGCTGGGCATTTTCAGATTATTTTTTCAGCATTTAGTGTCTGAGACAATACAGACACTGTTTTGCCATTACACTGTTCAAGGTATTCCCAAGCACAGTTCTTCATTAGCATTATCTCTTGCTTTTGTTAAGAACATTCATTCACAAAAGATGTTACAGCACGATAGGTAAGCTTAAACAAGGCTTCTGCAATTTCTACTAGGGCTCGTACACAGGCAGCGTCACGTCATCCTGAACCTTTGCTATTCTTTACCTTACTGCAGAACTCAAAATACTGTATCTCATGCATGTTTTTACGTCAGGTAGTGAACATCAAAATATCTGAGGGAAGGGAGGGAAGAAGAAGAGGGTGCTAACTACTGAAAAACACCATTACTACTTACAGGCAAATCTGCTCTCCCAACTTTGCACATACAGAGCAAGGTGTGTTTTGCTTCAGAATTATAGAAGCGGGGAAAAAAAAAAAACACGAAAAAGGAAACCTCCAATTATTACTTCAGTTCACTACTTGTGAAGTTGTTCCTTAATTTACATAAAGACAAAAGTAATGATCACATAATGATCACATTTTTCTTTTTGTATTAAGATAAATTTTAACTGAATGTCCTTCAATGGAGACGGATTCCTTAGTAACTCCAGATAACGTAATCAGGATATATTTGGGACCTCTCCTGTCTGGTGAACTTTTCCTGGATTGTTATTGACTGCCTTCTCTACTTTTGTCAAAATTTGTTATTTTTCCATGATCATAAAAAGCACGTTTCATCATTATTTCAAATCACCAGCAGGAAATCTTCCTTGCAAGCACAGGAGATATGAACAGAGAATCAAAATCACACTAGACAAGTGATGCAAATAACTTCAAATACAGTACTTTATTCCTCAGCTGTTAACAAAACCATGTCTCTTCAGTCCTGACACAAAAGTTGTCTTCTTCAATTCTTGATCAACCAAAACAATTCACTGAATTTGAATAAACACAGAAATAATCATAGACATATAAAACAGCTTTTTTCTTACAACAGAATTTTTGAAAATACTTTTTTCAAGACTGAAACAGAAGGGTTGGAGGCTTAAATCAATTGTTTTAATGGTATTATTGCATCTTCTGACAAAATAAGAACATATATTCTGACAACAGAGAAGACCGAGAAAGGGATACCTCTATGAAACGTGGTGGTGCTTACTTTGCTTTTCTACTACTGGCTTCACACTTCAGAATTACTCAAGAAAATATGAAATGGCTCAAATAATAATTAAAAAAAAAAGAACAAAGTATCTTCCATAAAACTTCAACTTATTCAAAGTTTTATCTTTTGCAATGTCTACATAAAAAATAATTGGGAAACAGTACTGGAATAATTTAACTGTTAGAACTGGATGGGGGCACAAATCTCATCTACTTTACTCTGAACTATTCTGTTACAAACAGCACAAACTGACAAGATAAAAGCACTGAGGCACATACAGAATTACTACAGTTCTACCAGCCCTACAGGTCAACTAACCCAGTGCATCTTCACATCTTAAGACTGATGAAATCTTTATGCACAGGTACACCACTTGAATTTCCTAGCCTACATCCTTGGTGAAACTGAACTCTTGACTGTTGTCCTTATGTTACTTGTAGCAAAAATAACAGCATAGGATTAGCAAAGAGAATTTTAAATTAAGGCTTTGTTTGTTAAAAACTGTTCTCCCTCTTCCCTTGCTGACCAGTGCTTGTCACCTCCATGGCCAGCAGTCTCACTCGAAATGTCATTTGTGAGCTACCTCTATTAGCACTATGCGAAAATCAGTCTCTAAAGGAAGAAAATGAGTACTATGCTTCCACTTGAAATTCCTCTCCACAATGGCAGCAGAGGCTGACAACAGTAATGACTGCAGAAACAAAGTGATAATGACACTGCTAGAAGGTAGGTGAAGTTAAGCCAGCAGAGTACTTCATTATATTGAGTTCACATTCAAGTCAACATGTACAAGCAATGAAGTCTCCCACTCTCTTCTTAGAAGCCTACCGGAACTGTAAAGTATGCTCAAGGCTGTACCAATCACACCATAAAGCAGCATTCTTAGTCAGTAAGCATACAGAAAAATCACAAGAAGGAAAGTTTTAAAGTTCATCCAGTCTAAAATTTCAAATCAAGGTGTTGGTAGTAGCTAATTAATAAAATCTGACACATGTTTTTAAACAACATGCTGGAAAATCACTTAATTTTAAACAGAGCTCTATGTTCCTGCATAGATCTGCCTCTGCAATTGAGGGCATGATGCATGTGTCCCTGAAGACAGGGTAACAACTTTAAAGCATGCCAACACAGACACCAACAGCAAGTTTGTGGGGGAAAAAAAAAAACCCAAAAACTCATAACTGTGGTACATAAAAGCAAATTCAAATCTTAAAATTCAACTGCAGATAAGTCTAAGCTACATATTTCTTGAAAGCTCTTCAAGGTTTCTGTCAAGAGATATGCCCAGCTTTATCAGATGCCTTCCGGAATCTCTGCAGTAACATGACCCTGATAAATACCATCATGAATACATACTTGGGCATCATCTCTCTGTTTTACCTCTACTCACAAATGGCATCACAGCAGAGGAGGGACCTAAAGAAGCTAGATAACAGACATAATTTTTAGCTGACAGCCCTGAACTTAATCTATTTTAACAAATCTATTTACAGCCATGTTTATACAAAACCCACTTCCTCATCTAGATGCTCTTTTACTAGAGTAACACTATCTGCAAAGGATAAGGCATTCATGCATATTGAGACAGAGTATCTTTCAGGTTATCAGACCAATTGGGTGACAATAAAAAAGCAAAGTCTTTGAATGCTATATTGGAACTTCTTCCAGGAACCTCAGTGGGGAGCAGCAACTGCTGCATGAGTTAACTTATCAGCTGGCAGTTGCCAGTTGCCAAATGCAGAGAGTAGGCAGGAGGAAAAAAAGAAATAGCCCGCTCTTTCTCCGGCAACTGAGCTTTGTTGACCTTTATTTTTAAAGGCTGATGCAGAAAGAGTACATAAATGACCTCCTAATGGACGTGATAGTAGTAGAAAATGCTTTTATGAAACACCAATAATATGAAAAGCAAGTAAAAAATAAACATCAAAAGTCGCCATGATTCAGGTTTTGTGGTACATGCTCTGACCTTCAATTAATCTCCGATATATTTATGAACACAAAAAGCCACCTAATTTTACTAGTATCTGTAGAGAACTAATTGAGAATATTACTTTTATGTGAAGTTCTGAAAGAACAGGAAAGCTCATTGAATAATTCTGACCAAAGCCTTAAGTGACAACTTGAAGTTCTTCAATATGTCGAATGTGAAAACTGGATAAAGAAAAAAGCACAAAGGCAGCATTCTGGACTTTCAGAAGCATCTCCCTCAAGTTCTTAGGTCTGACTTTTTAATTACTTTTTTTTTTTGTATCCAGCTTTTGGAGCAGAATTCATGTGCAACATGCAATAATTAGAGAGGCCTGAACATCATCTTTATTCTGTTTCTTTAAAAAGGTTTTTATTCAGTTTTCTGAGACTTATTTTAAATAAATGAACATAATAAAAAAAAGCCACAACCAGTATGAAAAGCAAGGACTCTAGTCATGATATTTTAGTATAAAAAGTTCTGTTTGATTAACTAAAAGAATTCAATGACAACATCAGTTGGTCGAATGCAATGATTCACATGGTCATACTTAAATCTAATCTAAACCAAAGGTACCATATCTAAATTCCTGACACCAGTAAACACCACCACTATATTTCATCTGTTACTCTTTCAGTATCTCCGGTATCCTCCACCTCCTCTTCCACCATATGGATCTCCATAACCTCCTCTGCCACCATAACCACCCCTGCCACCATAGTCCCCCCTGCCACCTTGGAAACCACCTCCACCTCTTCCACCACCTCTGAAACCCCCACCCCCAAAACCACCCCCACCTCCAAAGCCACCCCCACCCCCAAAGCCACCCCCACCTCCTCCTCTACCCCCTCCCCCACCCCAGCCACCCCTCCCACCCCCACCCCCACCTCCCCAGCCACCTCTTCCACCACCTTCCTGTCTTTTTTGCCACGGAGGCATTTCAGGAGGAGGTGGTTCAATTTCTGTTGGTCTGCCTCCACGGTCAGGTACTCTCCCCATCAGAACCTATATTGAAAAACAGAGGGATATAACAACTTGAAGGGACAGAGGGTAATTCTTTTTGGACAAAGACATGCTGCCTGCTCTTCAGAGGAAATAAGTTTCCTATCAGAGTGGAGCCTAACTGCTGAATTCCTATTTCCTTTCCTTCTAACTTGCCAGCAATGTGGCAAGAACTACAAAAGTGATCTCATTTCCCATCTGTAAAATTTAAGCAGTTACAGCTAGCTAGCTAATAACAGTGTTCTGAAATACATACAAAGAAAACTGCATGCCAAGTATTACAACAAAGTAGCATATAACTCAAATATATACATACACATGAAGATTACTGTGCTGTTTGCTCTTCTACTCTAATTTCAAAAACAGGTTCTAACCTAATCAGTCAGTAAAACCAAAAACTGGCAGACTGGCATGCAGCTCTTAAAAGTAACACCAGTTTACTTTACAATAGGAAGTAGTGAGGAAAAAGGCAGAACAGAAAAAAGGCACAACATGCTGCCATAACACTTTCAAGAAAAGATGATCTTTGTAGATATTATCCAGTGTACAAAACAGGAGATTGTACTCGACTAAGCTTCGCAAAATTTCAAGTTGAAGAATGAAGAGGTATTCAGGTATGTCTTTTTGTTGTAATTCCCAGATTTCCTAAACTCTTTGTATGATGAATGTTAACTGACATTGAGTCAGTCCCACGCACTCCAATCAAAGACCTCTTACAAAACAACCAAC